TTCAGGAAGTGTTTGTATTATTACTTTTCTTTTTGAATCATAAATAAAATTATTTGATTTGAAAATATCACTTTCATAAAATGGTTGAAGATTGTGTATATCGATTTGTTTAGCCTAAAAGAAAAGAAAGATTTTAATTACTAAAGTTTATAAATTTATGAAATAAATAAATAATTTATACCCGATCTAATAAATCTTTTTCTGAAATTTCAATTGTTGTAATACGATTTCCGCGAATAGCTTTTTGAAATGCTAAAGTATCTAATGTAAGCTGTCTAAGTATATAATATAGAAGTTCAGTATGATTTTTCTGGAATGATAGATATTTTTGGAAGGTCTAAAAAATAATAAAACATTTGTTATAATTTCAATAAAATTGTTGTATATATTGTATTTATTTTTATATTTTATACTTACTTGGCGCATACTTTTCATTACTGAATATTTTTGTGTATCAACAAAACTATCAAGCATCATTCTAATGGCAAGATTGATATCAGTTTCTTGAACATGATCACGCAAATGCATTTTAGCACTTGCTTCTGCCATACGTATAATACTTTCTATGTGTCGTACGGTAATTGGTAAGCTTCCAGTGGCCTATTAATCGTTAAAATATGTATTTCTGAGAACTTCTATAAATATTATATAAATATTTGTAACTTACCAAACTTTCTTGTCTTAATTGACTGTATAATTTTGCTACTTTATCTTGATCAATATTCGTTAATTTAGGATGAATATTTTGTCGTGCATAAACTATATATTTTTTTAAAAGATCTTGTGGAATAGATATATCATGTGTATTATCTATAGTAGATATTACTTTTCCTGCATTTGTTGGATGATGTTTTATATGAGAGTTTACAACAAATTTTGCCAAATGTCGATCTTGCATAGGATCTATTTCATCTTTTACCACACAAAGAATATCAAAACGAGATAAAATTGGTTCTGATAAATCTACCTAAGTAAAAAGAAAAAAAAAGTATAAACATAATTTATTGTATTTTTATATATATATATATATATCTTACATTTTCTGAAAATGTCATACTAGCATCATATCTTCCTCCAATGGGATTAGATGCAGCTATTACTGAACATCTAGCATTAAGTGATGTAACAATTCCAACTTTTGAAATGGAAATACTTTGTTGTTCCATAGCTTCATGAATAGATGTTCTATCTTGATCATTCATCTAAAAATATAATAATATAAAACATAATGTTTATATTCTATCACAAATATTTTATAAAATGTACCTTATCAAATTCATCAATAAGACAAATTCCATGATCAGCAAGAACTAGGGCACCAGCTTCTAATGTCCACTCACGAGTGGTTGGTGATTTTCTTACAAAAGCAGTTAATCCTACGGCCGAAGCTCCCTGACCTGTTGTAAATACTGATCTTGGTGCAATTTTTTCAACATATTTTAAAAATTGAGATTTAGCTGTTCCTGGATCTCCACATAATAACACATTGATATCTCCTCTGACTTTATGCTTATTACCTAAATAATGATAAGAATTTTGTATAATTATTATATAGAAAAAATATATAGAAAACAATATTGAAAATGAAAATACCAGGATTTTTTGGCTCTCCTCCAAATATTGCTAATGCTAAAGCTCTCTTTGTATATTCATGACCATAAATTGAAGGGGCAATACTTGCAATAATGCGATCAGTAATTTGATGATCTTTGCTTAAACCAATAATACTAGAAACATCTTCTTCAGTCAAAGATTCTACAATTTCTTTAGAATCTTTTACTTGTAAATGATTAGCAAGAAGAACCGTTGCAAATACTGGAAAACCCTTAAATAACAAATAAATATTAAATAATTAACATTAAAATTTTTAAAATAAGCATATTAAATAACTTTTACTTGTTCTGTATTCAAAGAACCATCATAATTATTCGTATAAATAGCTGTAACATCTACTTCATCCCCGGGTTTACAACGATCACAGAGATCTGATAAAAGAATACATTCTTTACTTCTAGGAATTCTTCCTGCAGGAATTTTGCCTGGTGATTCTTGAATTGTAATTTTTTGATAATTTCTATATATTGTTTGCTCCATATTAATCTATAATTAATATAAATACAAATATACAAAATAAATTTAATAAATATATAAATAAGATAATATTTACCATGAAAGGTCCAATGCTTTGACATTCAGGACATGAACCAGGTTTAACTTCAGTATTTTGATTTTGTACAAAAGGACCAAGTATATATCCACATTTTGTACAATCATATTTTACAACAGACAATTGTGGTAATACTCCTGTGGTTGCAGTAACAACTCCTAGAGTACGGACTAGTTGATTCAAATGTAATTTCCTATTTTTTATCATATAATCTATTATTTCTATCTATTATAAAATAATATACTTTATAAAAAAAATATAAATAGCTATATTTTTACCTAAATGTACGAATTTCTTCTATTAATGGTAATTCTGATATTCTAACATGAATCTCACTTGTAACTCTTTCATAACTAGGAAATATAGTTAATACCAATTCTTTTGCTACTTCATCAAATATTTCTAACATTTGAAACGGTGCTTCTGGTAAAAAATATGCCAATACATGCTCTTTACTAGCAAGTATAGGGAATTCCACAATAAAGCTAGACTATTAAAAAATGACAATTTTTTTTTACATCTTAATATGATTATTATTAAAGAATTAATAATAGAAAATATACTTGATTACTCTCGCACATATGACGAATTCGTTCTTTATACATATACTGTCCTTTTGAATTGGTATGTGTACGAAGAAAGCTTTTAAAACGATTAGAAATTTCAGTTTTAGGTCCTAACATAGACACCCATTCTTTAACTGAATGACCTTTGGTATCTTCTAAATTTTCAATAGATTCAATCATCTGTACAAATAAATATATAGATAAAATATTCTTATGTAATAATAAAACAAGTTATATATATTGTTATATATATAGCAGATAAGAATTTTACTTCTGTGTCTTCAATTTCACCTATTGCTGCTTTTTCAGCTATACGTCTTTTACGAGCTTGCATTTCTTCTTCATCACTTTCATCTTAAATATGTAAAGATATATATTATATTTGTTATTGAAAAAATATATTTATTATCATTATAAAATTAAAAAATTAAAAAACTAAAAAAATACCATAAAGTAAATATCTATCATCTCTGATAATGCCTGCTGCCCGATCTCTTTTACGCATAGCAGCTTCAGCAGCTGCACGTTCTCCTTGAGACATTTCTGAATAATCCTCATCATCTACTACATCTGGATCATATCTATCTAATTCTGGCATAGGACGATAATCACTAAAATATTAAATAAAATATTAAATAAAATCAAATTTCATATTATATATATTTTTTTATATAATAATAAAAAAAAATTTACGCTTCCATATTATCTCCAAATAATTCCTCCCCTTCTTCTTCTTCTTCTTCCTGATTAACATCATTGTCATTGCCAAGTAAATCAGATTCATCTTCAAATGGTTCATCTATTTCTGGTGCAGGAGATGTCATTGCTTCTGTATGTCTATCAGAACGTGCTGGACTAGAATCCTAAAAAACATATAAAAATATTTATATATTTAATATGAAATGATTGAATTAGGAAATTAATAAAAATTAAATTAAATTAAAGTATAAAATAAAATTATTCATTTTTTAATTCATTTATCAATATTATATTTTAAAATAATTGATTTGAATATAAATATAATAATATTTTTTTTATAATATAAATTATATTTTACAAATTTAAAAATTATAATGTTTTTAATATCTTACCATTGTATCGAAATATCGCGGCAATCAAACGAGTCCGTAAATAAAAATACTTATAACATTAATAAGAATAATTCTTCTTTCTTCCTACTTTAAGCTTAAACTAAAAAGTATGTATGAATTGGCGGGAATTTCTTTAAGACTTATTTAGTCATGCCAACATTTCTTAATAAATAACTATAATTGACCAATAGTAGAAATTCTTTATATAAAATAAATGAAATTATTGGATAATGAAATTTGTTACATTTTCATTAATTCATTTTTCATTAATTGTAATTAGTTGATATAACATAAATTGTTGTACAAAGATATCTATATGATATAAATTTTTTTATAAAAATAATATATAATAAAACAAAATAAAACAAAATTTATATAATTTTTATTTTTTACTGACATTTGTTGAACAAGAAGCATGTTTTAAAAAGTATAAAGATTGTAATTTGTCTACTACAGAAGTAATTTCTGCTTGTATATTTGCTGCTCTTACAATAAGATAAAGAGATTCTTGAAAACGTTTTTGTGCAATTCGTAAACTCTGTGGGACCAATACTCCAAACCATTTTATAGGATCTTGAATTTCATTTCCAATTTTATCTAACTTTTTTAAACTTATGTCAAAATTTGGAACTATTTTTCCAGTTTCCTCAGTTAATTTTGTTTCTAATTCAAATAATGTAACTACTCTGTCATCATCAACTGGAATCTGTAAAACACTTATACTTTCTTTGCCACGTATGTATTTAGCTTTAGCTAATTCAATGTAACCATCACGCAATATTTTTTCCATTTGGACATTGATATTAATTTTTTCTTCTATTAGTTCTAAATTACGCAATAGATTTTCATCAATAGCTTTACATATATCATCTATACTTTCATGCATATTGTGTACTATTAATATAAAAGTGATGGATTTATTACAATATGATACTGTGGAATATAATCTAAAATATAAAAATATAAAATTATATTGTTAATAATAATATACTATATAATGTTAATAATAAAATATAATAATAATAATATAAGAATAATATATATTATATATATATTAAATTCTTATACATATTTTTATATATTAATTTTTTACAATATTTTTATACATACCAAGGATAAATATTATTTTTATGTTTTTATAAATTATTATAGTTTAATAATTATTATATTTCGTCTTTGTAAATAATTATTTTAATAATTAGTTTTAGTTTAGTAAAAACAAATTTTTTATACGTAATTCAATTTATTTATTCTATTTTTTTTTAAATAATAATGACATGTCATTTCCAAAACTATTAGAATTAAAGCATTTGGCTACACTGCTTGCAGTGCTATTAACTAAAGTATGTGGGTGTTATAAAATTGATACATCGTGTAATTTTATGAATATAAACAATGGCAGTTAAAGAAAAGCAAACGGATACTTCTACTGACGAAATAGAATGGAATATTGAAAATGAAATTCAATTATTCTTTGCTATGAATGGTCATAAACCCGTTGGTAAGATTTAGATTCATATAATAACATTATTTTAGGTTATATTTACATCGATGAAACAAAAAATAAATAAATAAATATTTAATATTATATAAAATATCTAATTTTATAAAAAAAGATATCTATTTAATTAGATTTCGTTAAATATTTTTTTTAAGGTATTAATAAATATTTTCACATGGTTTGCATATGGGAAAAATTTCGTGCTGCAATTCACAAGGATGTATCATTAAAAACAATTTGGGAACATTTAGAATCAATGTATGATCTAATGGCTCTGGTACTTACTATTACTTTAAAAAATTAATTATAATCAATTAAAATAATCTTGATGATTTATTTAAACTATTATAGGATGATATGGAAGATTTACCATTTCCCAGTCAAGAAATAGATTTTTCTTTACCAGAACAAGAATTTTTGGGACCAATTAAATCTCGAAAAAGAGAAGAACCAGAATTAAAACTAAAAGAACAAAGAGATAAATTTAAAGAAATTAAGAAAGAAAAAGATTTTAAAGATATTATGAAAAAAGATACTGTTCTTCGTGATCTTAAAGGAAGTAAAGATATTGATAAAAAAAAGGAAGAATTTAAAAAATATGTAAAAGACATAGAACTCAAAAAAGATAAACTCAGAGAAATTAAAGATATTAGGAAAGACTATAAATCTCCTAAAGGACGATCAAAGGGAAGGATGATGTTGAAGAAATAGGTATATATATATATATATATATATATATATTATTTTGTAC